CTAAACTGTATGGGATATTAAAGGCTTTTTGCAGTTTATTTCACTTTGAAATCAATTTTACTATAACATGGCTCTCATATAGTATTTTTATTATTGTCTTATGGTATCAAACCACTTAAAAAATAATGGAAGAAGACATTCTAAGCTATTCACCAACTGTCTTGTTTCGTGGGACACCATGTATCTAAATCAGGTTCAGCTAAGTAAGGTAAGCTAATTGGGGTGTCAATGTATTGGAAGATATGAATTTTAATCTTTAAAGACAAATCTTTTAATAATTAAAGACAATTTATTAAATTATCGAATTTGTCATTTTATTATTTTTTGGTACCATTAAAAACCTAATTATCAGGTAAAAAATGTCAGAATTAGTAAAAAGAATATCAGGATATAGGAACACACAAGAAGTTCATTTCTTGTAAATTCAATGCCTTTGAACTTTTTATTTGTGTGTTAGTTTCAAACCATTTGTTTGTTCTATACTTTCCCAACTTCATTTTCTAAATAATTGAGTGTTCTGTGTACATACACAATGTACGTAATAACCACATTACTTAGCACGTACATGACTCTTCTTCAACTGTTCCAACAAAGGGTGTCACACGAAACATGAAATTGTTAGCTGCACCTTGCTTAGCTGAACCTGATTTAAATATCAGTTTTTACTCCTATTCTTTCTTTTAAACACAATTAATGCTTATTAAAACTAATTACAGAACTGAGTGCCTAGAACTAAAAACAAACCAAAATCACAAAATGCAGGACTACTAAAAAAAACCTTGTAAACATTTTTTATGAACAATTAGTTTAGTAAATCAATTCCGAAATCTAAAAATTACAAAACCTAGGAGAAAAAAAAACAATAAAGCCTTCCACAAAATACAAATCCACTCTGACGAAAATATTTTTTTAAGAGACAAAAAACATACAATACGGTTACTTAACAAAATATCTTGGTTTTGCAATGAAGGGTTTAACTCTGTTTTTGATGATACACAGAAAATAAATTGCAAAAAAAGACTTGAACTATATCTGAATTATAAAAATATGGCTGTTTTTACAGATAGCATACAAAAGAATTGGTCTTTACCACAAACTAAATGTCGCTAACCTTATATATTTTAAACTATGAATTCTCTTAGATCAAATATTTTAAGCTTGAATACCAAAGGCACACAATCACGCGCTAAAATATAGTGATTACAAATTTGAGTTTGTGGCACAGACTCAACTCCTACAGACAAGTGGATATAAGGTTTACAGTGAGTTACAGTGAGTTGTTTGTCATTTACAATGTTGTTGGTTAACAGATATTAACACGTTTATAAATATACTTTGCTTGTCTGTCTGTTTGTATCCAATAAACACATAAAAGGCAGAACCTCATCGGGCCCTAATTTTGTGTGGAACTTAACATGACCCCAGGAAAGGTTTATTAAAGATCAAAATTTGGGAGAAAATCCTGGAAAATAGTTGGAATTTCTTTTTTTGAATACGCCAATTCGAAAAAAACGTGACAAAATTTTCAAATTATTAAAAATGGCCGACCTTCAAAGCAACAATTAAAAGCTAGATCGATTTGTAATTATTTCTTAAAGCCTAGTATTGGTATATCTAGCCTTAAAAATTAAATAAAAAAATTTGTTTTTAACCTTTGTGACAGAAACAATCTCAAGAACTGACGAGGGTCAACCCAGACTGAAATATATTTTCAATAAATATGGAACTAACATCTTCTTTTTTTCTCTACAGAGGTTTGGTCCATGAGTGATCCATCAACATCACCGAATTTTAAATTAAAAACTACAATTCAGTAGAAGTACACATTTCCCTTTACTCTTAACACGGATTTCAGGATTCATCCCTAATTGGATGAACGCTAAGAAATTTCAAATTTTCATCTAACAAAATTTGTTGGAGCACCGACATCAAATTCATCTTACCAGAATCATTCGTTAAATTTTGTTGAATGATTCTGCTAAGATGAATTTGATGCCGGTGCTCCAACAAATTTTGCTAGATGAAAATTTGAAATTTCTTGGAGTGCATGATGCAATAGGTAGATAGATAAATGGTACCGCTTTGCAATTACTACCGGGATGGTGTCCCCCCCCCCGAGGGTGTTCCCCCCCTTCCTACCTTATCGCATTTATTAATTCCACTTATTTTAATTTAGGATTAGTTTAATCTCTTTTTTGCCACTTTGGTTTAGAAAATATTAATGTTCACTAACAGTGATTTAGGAAACCCCTTAACAAATCGCGTGAATGTAAAAATGTTTAAATATCCATTTTTTGAGAAATAATATTTTGAAAAACCTTTTTTATTTTTATATTCAGGGTGTTTTAAGTTAAAGGGTTTAAAATGAGAGGGTAAAGACTATAGATTTTATTGGAATAAAATGTAAATTCAAATATAATATAAATAGATTTCTTAATGTGAGTTAAAGAAAAGAACTGATTCAGGAAGAGAACAAGATCTTTACATTAGAGAAAACTTTGCTGGACTTTTTTTTCTTACAGAAAACAATAGTTAATTTCTTTTGTTAAGTTTTTCTATTTAGATCTATAAGGAGAATATTTATTGGTTCCATTAGATACAGGGTTCAAAACTTAAGTATCGTAATGAAACCCAGTATCGGAAACCAGGTTTTCATGGATATATGGGGTTAGGCAGTTTTGTAGATGCAAATATTTTTGTTTGGAAAAATTATTTTAATTTGTCTCTTCACATTCTCTTTTTGTTTTTGATTGCTTGATAAAATATACGTAAATGTACATATGGATGTAATAAATATCGGGTAACACAATATATTATGTAAATCTACAGTACGTTATACATTATTAATTATTTATGTTTACGGGACTGTAGCCGTGTGGATCGTGTCTTGGTTGATATACTGATCAATAATTCGCTATTGTCCGGTTGACATACCAAATGAGATCGCACCCTGTGTAGTGGCGTTGATAGTTCGTGGGATTGTAGCCGTGTGAATCGTGTCCTGTTTGAGACATTGATTAATTGATTACTAGTGTCCGTAGTCCGTACCGACACCGATGGATAACGAAATCGCGCCCAGTGGTAGTGGCGTTGATAGTTCATGGGATCATGTCCTGTATGATAATCATAGTGGACGGATTGCACCTGGACTAATACAATATATCGGACAAAGTTTTAAGAGTTTTGCATTTACTACATGGACCCCAACAGAAGGAGTGTCGTTCAACGATGCTCTCTTAACCTTATTCCTGCCGGGTTAGTCTGAGGCTGTTGAAATTTTCTGACTTTTCCTAAATACCCATAGCCCTCCCTATACCGGGCTTTTATACTAACTGTCCGAGTTCTCTGGCAGACTGCCTGAATGACTACTTTTTCCTGTAACAAACTAAATCATTGGTTTGACCCACTTTCAGTTGTCAGATTTTGATAATTTTTAGCTTTTTGGAAAGCCAATGGCATAAGGAAACGGATTGCGCAAATTATTTGCAAAAGAAATTTTCACATTTTTATCTTTTATTATTTACACACAAGGTTATTTAAAATTTAGATTTTTTTTTGCATTTTTGAAATAGCATGGTTTGGGGATTTTCAAAAATGTATATTTTATCATTTTTTGGCAACTTTTTGTTTGCAAACATTTTTATTCTATAACTGGATTTTGCAAAAAAAATACAGCTTTCTGCAAATTTTCAATTTTTTTTCCGATTCTAAAAGTAGAGCATAAGAGCTTTCAAATGATGTATCATTTGTCATATTTGGACATCAAATATGGGATTTTAAGTGGGGGGGGGGGGTCAAACTGCCCCCCCCAGCGTATCCTGGTTTTCAATTACCCCAGCAATGATAAGGTTAAATTTACGACTCAGGTATTATATCAACAATGTTGATGTTATATTGTTATTTTAAAACGTAGCGTGTACGCTGTTATGTTTGGAGTATCGTTAATCTTGTATGCTTGATCTCGTTATCCAATGTGGGTACTTTTTATTTCAGGATAAATGCTGGGATATCGAAAATGAATTAAATTAATCCGTATACGATGTAGATCAAAACTAGATCCCGAGATTACCAACAAAAATTTCTGAATTCTGACAGCATTTTGCTTTCTATAAAACTCTTATACAGTTTCAAGTTTTTTCTGTTGATTAAGTATTCAAAGTAATAATATTTTTGTTCTCACTATGTCTAAACATAAGCATGATGTCAGTGCCACACTAGTTCATGCTGACTCTGTTCAACAATATTGTTGACGTTAATTCGAGTTAAAAGAACCAACAGACAAGGAAAACTGAAATGTAATGTATATATATGATATTCATGAAGAATGAATTAACCTTCAAATAAAAGGTTCCATTAATCTATATAATAAAGCTCTTCGTTCATATATTTATATTTATATTTGTATATATGTTAGCTATAGCTGGCCACACGGCTGGACCAAATTGACTGATTTTATTTGAGTGAACCCATGGGTGCAAATGGAAACATAGGCTAAGAAAAAAAAAAAATGTTTTTCTACCAAAATCCGATTTTAATTATTTAAATTAAATTTTTTTAATTTCAAGGCTAGTAGAATATAATAGCAGTATCCTTTAAACCTTTTCTGATTAAGATAACTTAGTTTTTGGCTCTTCTAAAACGTGATACACCAAAGAAGAGCAAGAAAATGTTTATTTGTGTTTAATTCTTAGCTCATTTATTTTCAAATCATTATTCATTATTAAATCTTTGCAGAAACCGTTGATATTTCAAACTATGAATTCTCTTAGATGAAGAAGTCAAAGTTCAAAATTACAGAAGGTTTACACCATCAGGTTGCAAAATAAATGTATGAAATTAGACTTTTAGGCAAGTAATTAATTAATCTAGGTTATTTAGTATCGATACATGGATCAACTAGTTGTTCCATGGTATCGATAACGAAAGAGTACTCTGTACAGTGTACAGTGTACAATGTACACTGTACATATGCAGGTCTAAAGTATTCATGTTTCAGAAATAAAATGACGAGATGAGTCAAGATTCTTATTGCTTAGAGTCCAGTTCTACATGTACAGAACAAAAATGTTTATGTACTGGTCCCCTAGAATCATGTACAGTGTGTAAACAAGTGTACAAGAATGGTATTCTTGGTTCTTTACCAAGTATGTATTTAGATGCCGCGTTGTACAAGGTAAACTAAACTAATAAATGAAAAAATGTTATTTCTTAAAGGGACTGTAAGCGTAATGCAAAATGACCCTGACTGCATAGATGGCAATGCCGATTTACAACGGTACCCTTTAAGGCTTTTTCTGCTCAAGTAAGATCAATAAATCCATGCTCTTGATTATTTAAATTGTTTATTTTCGTTTGTAGTTTTCTGCAAACTGTGAACTTCTTGCGAATTTTCCAAAGGAGCTGAGTTTTCACAACAAACTCAGATTTTCTAATCCCTATATCTTTGGAACCCATATGTTCAAAACCTCTGTTATTTCAAACTTAGGCTTAGTGAGCTAACATAACTCATGGTTTGAAACATCAAATGTCTACGATATCGGAATCTAAAGATATAATTGTAAGAAAATCAGAGTTTCTCACTCAGTTTCTTTTTGATCATCAGATAAAGGTTTCAAGTGTACCGCTGTACCTCGGGCAAAGCTATCTTTGCCATGGAGGGTCATTAAGAACCACGCCTAAAGTCACTTTAAAAGGGAAAAAGTATTTACATATTTTAAAAAAAAGATCTGTGACAATAATTTTTAATTTTTGGAAGGAATCTGCTGATACTGGAATCCGGATCGGGTGAGTTGTATCTATATATTTATACTAAGCTTGTCTGTCTGTTAGGGTGTCTGTATTTTTGTACCCAATAAACTTCAAAATGCCTGAACCGATCGGACCCAAATTGTGAGTGGGACCTCACATGACCCCAGGAAAGGTTTATGAATGATCAAAATTTGTCTAAAAAATCGATTTTTATAAAATGTTTAAATCCACGAATTTTTTTTTATAAAATCCGCGAACTTTAAAAAAAACATTTTAATAATAAATACCCCTAAAAACCTAGCATTATAAACTTTTGCCTGCAAACTACATAGTTGCTAAAACTAATCAAAACCTTAATTCTTGCGACACATCGAAAATGAGGTTAAGGAATGAGATACGAAAAATGATAAAAGCTAAACGAAAACTTTGCCTTTTAAAATGTATTCTGCAGTTTGGAGGTGTAATATTTGGATACTGCACATGGTTTTGATATTTCTTGTTTTTATTGAAACATTTTTGAGAAAGTCGGAATTCAGAACTTTTGTATGAAATGGCTCTTACTCAATATTCACGCTATAAACATCTATGTCTTGAAGCTAATAGCGCAATCTGTTAGATCCACCTCAATAGATGTGGATTATCAATTTAAAAGTTGCGACCTTGAATCTAGGAAGTAGCAATGCCAATTTTACCTCCTGCTATTTTAATTATCCCTACCTCTGTTAAAACAAATAAAAATAGTTTATTCTGATATTTAAATTGTTACAAAAAGTGTTTTATGAACTTTTTGGCTCAAATTTTCTAAATAAATTGAACTGAACTAAATAAATCAAGTGTATGACAATGTTGTAATGTGATTAACGTTTAATATAGGTTAAATTAGGTATCCCTGGGTAAATATAGGTTAATTTAGGTATCCCGGGGTAAATATAGGTTAAATTAGGTATCCCTGGGTAAATATAGGTTAATTTAGGTATCCCTGGGTAAATATAGGTTAAATTAGGTATCCCTGGGTAAATATAGGTTAAATTAGGTATCCCTGGGTAAATATAGGTTAAATTAGGTATCCCGGGGTAAATATTGGTTAAATTAGGTATCCCGGGGTAAATATAGGTTAAATTAGGTATCCCGGGGTAAATCGAAAAGAATTCTAAAAGTTACACTCCAAGATTTATATAATTTTTCTAAGTTCTCCAAATAGATCCCACAAGTTGGAACCATATAAACTAAATACATAAATTTTATATAGTTTTACAACCATAGATGGTTTAGAGAAGTGAAACTCTTGAAATGTATACCCTTTAGAAATAAATTCTTTTTATACTGCAAACTTTCACCATTGAGTTATCTGATTGTAAAATATTACAATGTTTGATCTCGTTTACAAAGGTTTTCACAGTACTGCAAGTTTGCAACTGTATTAGGTCAACAAAAAGTTTACAAAACCAAGATAACACATTTTATCTTATTGTGTTTGAACGATCTTGTCCAAGATGAAAGATGAAAGATCAATGTTTCAGAAAACCTGATGTTTGTGACAGCATAGAATCCGAGGATACATCTAGTCTAGTTCTCTCTACTTCTAGTTCTATGTCGCTAATAGAACACAAGATACAGGAGATACAGGTACTTCAGGGGATACAGTGATACAAGTACTACAGGAGATACAGGTACTTCAGGAGATACAGGGATACAGGTACTACAGGGGATACAAGGATAAAGGGATACAGGGAATACAGTGATACAGTGATACGGGGACACAGGGATACAGGGATGCAGGTACTACAGGGGATCCAGGGATACAGAGATACAGGGACACAGGGATACAGTGATATAGGGATACAGACATACAGGGACACAGGGATACATGACTACAGTGATTCAGGGATACAGGGATACATGGATACAGGGATACAGGGATACAGGTACTACAGGAATACAGGGATACAGAAGATAATATGTATACAATGATACAAGGATACAACACATTTGAACAAAGTCTGATGTGAAATTAACCTTGGTTCTGAGTTGAATGAGTGAAACTTGAAGAAAACTAATCTTGAATTCTACAAGGACGGTTCAACAAAACTCTTTGGGAGGAGAAACCATCCAAACCAAAACTCTTCACAGTGTTTCAAGAAATCGACTTCAACTTGGAAGGAGTCTGCAGATTGTGAGTTTACTGATACTTGTGGATTAAGGCGAGTCTTAATTTTCTAATTTATTCCTGTTTCCAGGGATATTAGAAGTAAAAGATAAAGAGTTTAATATATCGATAGTCTTCCAATCAAAGTCTTTAAATTTAATTTTTTTTTTAATTTACCACGTCTATCCAGCATTTCTGTTTAAGGGAACTTGAGATGGAAATGAGCAAGAAACTGCCCATAAAAATGGGATCATTCAATGAACGTACTGTCCCGTTTTTCTATGTCTTTTCTATGTATTGTGTACTATACTGTACTTTCTCTAGTACCCTATATTAACGTACTGTCCCGTTTTTCTATGTCTTTTCTATGTATTGTGTACTAATCTATGCTTTCTCTAGTACCCTATATAAACGTACTGTCCCGTTTTTCTATGTCTTTTCTATGTATTGTGTACTATACTATGCTTGCTCTAGTACCCTATATAAACGTACTGTCCCGTTTTTCTATGTCTTTTCTATGTATTGTGTACTATACTATGCTTGCTCTAGTACCCTATATAAACGTACCGTCCCGTTTTTCTATGTCTTTTCTATGTATTGTGTACTATACTATGCTTGCTCTAGTACCCTATATAAGTCAATCCAATACTTCAAATAAACCGGAGTTTTCAGTGTGTCTGACATTTTCAATTCTTTAGATAGAAAATTTTTCATTAAGGTTCTATACCGTTGAGGACATTTTCTCTTTTGATCTAGGACCGCTAGATTTTTAAAATAAATATGAATAAGAAAATAAATTAAGACTGTATACAGGAATGCAATGAGTGATATAATAAGTGATGGCAAAAGTGATCTAAAAATTGTTGAACCTGGTGATCTGCGTACTCATGAAACTAATGATCATTGTATAACTAGTGATCAATCCTCTCTCTATATCGAGCTAAACCACTCCCCTACCCTATCTCATGTCGAACAATCTTCCTCAACTAAAAAACTGATGAAAAATTCAAAACATTTATCTAGACATTTACACCATGATGAACTCTTCCTACATTCCTCCAGCAGAGAGATATCTACCAGAGATCATGCCGGTCAAACGGACGAAATCATTCCAGAGATCTATTTAGAGATCAATTCTATAATCAAGCCTGAAATCAATCTGAAAATGGATCTTGACGAGGAGAACTCACATCATGTTTTCATATCCAGTGAAAAGGTATATATGAAATTTTAAAAATGATTTGAAGTAATATCTTGAATTAACCATATTCCTACTTGCACTTCAAATGCAGGATTAGAAATGAGCCATAACTTCGTTTTCTAACTAATGTCCCCTAAAGTTTCAACAGAAATATTAAAATAAAAACATTAATTTTTGCTTTGAGGAAGCATCTTTATTTAAAGTTTAAAATAGAAAAATTGATTGATTTTGGAAGTTTTAAATTTATTAATTGTTTATATTTTACAATCTAATAAATGTAAACAATATTATTCAAAATATATCCCAGAATTAAGTGGATGATGAAAGAGATCATGTAGGAAAAAAGGAAGGAGTAGAGGAATGAACCGATTAAAGAGAAAGATCAAATGAATCAATTTTATATTTGCATATTATTTACATATATTGCAAACTGAATAATATTTAAACTCACTTGGTTTTGAATTTCTTTAAGAAAATCATTTATAGGATATTATACAATAAAGGAATTTATACCGGGTAGTTCAAGGAATTTGACTATAATGTAACAAATTTTTCAACATGACCGACAAGGGGGGGGGATGCAATGTGAAGAATTTCAGTTTTTATATAAAAAGTTAAACATAAAATTCTAAATTCTGCAATAAATTTTAGAAAGAAATAAAGACTAAAAAAGATTTTTTTCGAGTGTAGGAGTCTCTCATGGCAAAGGAAGACGATATTACGAACCTTCATAGAGCTGTTCTTCCAGGTACAGTGCAGTGGTAACCGGGAAACTGTGGAAAGATTGTCGTCTTCGTGCTTCTTCTACATTGAGAAATTTCTAATTGTTTCAACTGATTTAAACCTAAAAATGTTCAGACACTGTTGTTAAATTTTCCAAGTAGCGTCTTATCAAATCAGGGTCACGTGACTGGTGAAGATTCTGAACCAATAGAAATTGTGACGGCGGTAACACTTATCTTTCTATCTATTTCCTCATTCAATGAAACCTTTGCTAATTCAGTAAATGGAAATGTGTACTTCTACTAATTAGGTGCAGAGGAAATTTTAAAAGAAAAAGGCAGACAACCTTCACTCCATTGCTAGTCTGGTTACCGCTGTACAAACTAAAGGCGCATCGTACTTTTAGAAGTTTGGCCAGAAGAAAAAGTGTTAAATGTTTTTTTTATAATGTTTAGTTCAAAATACGGAGTAATTGCCAAAATTCACGTCATCCTGGTTCGTTTAGACTTATCGACCCTAATAATTCTTCTGGTTAATTGATCTTTTTGTGGAGTTTTCCGATGTCCACGTAGAAATGTTAGATTTGAGAAGGAATTTTTAAAATGTTTTTAAAGATAACAAATATGCAATTCGTTGCGATTAAAAATGCTTTAAAAACGTCCGTACATATTTTTTAGCATTTTGAATTAATATATTTCTATATTTTAAGGCTTAGAAGATATAAATAAAGCTGAGGAAGATGAGAAGATAAGTATAGAAATTCAAGGTGAACAAAATGACGGGAAAACAAAAACTGAAAATGGCGGGAATGACGGGAAAGTGGAAAAGACTGAAGCAGAAAAGACTAAAGAGGAAGAAGATCAAGAAGAAATTGAGGATTTAGATGATTTTGTTTACATTCAAGGTACACAGTTTATAAACAGGGCGCAATGCAGGCTAAAAAATGTTAAAAAATTAACTCTTAAAATTGACTTTAAACTTTAAAAGACAAAATCGTTTAATTTTACCACTTGTCTGTTTCTGACCAGAAATTCTCATCTCTAAATGCAGTTTTGCAACGTGAGAACCAGGAAACTGTAAGGAATAGGAAGACGACAGTAAATAAATACTAAAGTGTATTTGATGTTAAGTTACACTGCAAATAGTAATAAAAATAATTTTATCAATTATAAAGTAAAACACATAGATTAATTAAAATTACAGATAGGACACTAGATGTCGTCTTTTAAAGATTTGGACGAAACTCGTTCACAATAACCAAGAGGAGTTTCGTGCAAACGGCGTAGAACAGACTCTCTCTGTCTTGCAATTCTACGCCGACTGCGATAAACTCCTCTGGGCTTCTGCCTCAGGGTTATTGTGAACGAGTTTCATCCAAATCTTGAAAGACAACATCTATTGTCCTTTCTGTTATTTTAATTAATCTATGGGGAAACGAGTCTCTGTCTCGTGTTCATTGGACTATTTAAAGTCATATTTCGAGTCTAAAAGTTGTCTTTCTATTTTCTTGTTCTTTCTGGTTGGGAAATAGTTTAAAATGGCTTCTTTTAATACCTTGTTAAGTTGTTAAGTGGTTTCAGACCAAAAAGAATAATAACAAAGATTGTATGGCCGTTAAATTATAGTAATCATTGATTTCAAAGTTAAATATATTTGACTAAAATATTTAAAACAAAATAAACTGCAAAACGTCTATAATATCTTATATAGTCTATGGAAGAAGACATTCAAAACTGTAATGTTTCGTGGGACACCCTGTATATTACTTTTTATTTGAATTCTAGGCAATGTTTCCTTGAAGATGAAGAAGCTGCAAGCTCAGCACTCTACAGACAGTTGTCTCTGCTGGGACGATAATCTGGTACATTCATTTCATTCATTTCATTCATTTCATTCATTTCATTCATTTCATTCATTTCATTCATTTATTCATTTCATTCATTTCATTCATTTCATTCATTTCATTCATTTCATTCATTTCATTCATTTTTTCTTTATTTTTGTAATCAAACTTTTCTGAAACTTTGCCGGATTAGTTTGGATTAAGAGGACTGCTCTCGATTTTCAAACCTAACAAAAACAAGTACAAACATATTTTACCATCAGTTTTCTAATGAAAATTAATGAAAATTAATGAAAATTAATAAATATGAAAACGTCGCAATAAATAAAAACTAACAAGAATAAAGAAGGATGAAAATGTCTGAAAGAATAAATGAAAATTTCTCAATGAATAAAATAAATGAGAATAAATAAGGATGAATAAGGATAAAAATGTCTCTATGAATTAAATTGAACAAGAAAAAATAAGGATAAATAAGGATGACAATGTCTCTATGAATTAAATTGAACAAGAAAAAATAAGGATTAATAAGGATAAAAATGTCTCTATGAATTAGATTAATGAAAAATAATTAAGGATGAATAAGGATGAAAATGTTTGAATGAATCTCCTTGAAAACGAATTGAAATCACCGATAATCCCCTTTCAGAATTAAAGGATTTAAAGAGAATTTGTATAAAAACTCTAAAAACCCTTTTAGCATCTTATTATAATGAAATCTTTTTTTCCTAGAATATGTCGGAACTTTAGTGGAATATTGATAATCGTGAATCCATGATCTCGGTTTTCAATGTGTCTGACTATCTAACTATCTGTCTTTCTATCATATCTAAGTATCTATATAGTATCTATTCATCTATCTACAGGGTGTCCCAAAAACATGGGAATTCAGTGACGAATTCGATATCGTCTTTGTTCTGAATTAGCATTGTAATACCTAATTTCAAAAGCCATAATATTATTATGTCTGCTAGAGTTTATTTAAAGAAAACGGTAAAAGACTGCAAAGATGTGTCTATAATGTCTCCGCAAGATGAACAGTGAATATGGACAAGTTTACTCTGTTTGTATACTGTAATTTTCTTGTTTTACTAAGTACAACCGGTTGCAGTCAAAACATAAACAAACAAAATGTAAACATAGCAGACGAAACTCTTACAGATTACAGCTTTCTCAGTAGGTATCACCATACTAAATGAAAGAATTATTTGAAAAGACGATATCGAATTCGTCACTGAATTCCCATGTTTTTTGGGACACCCTTTATCTATTCATATACAGGGTGTCCCCTATCATATTAGACTATTAACGGGCTCGTTTTTTTGGACGTATCTAACTATCTATCCATATATCTATCTATCTATCCGTGTATCTATCTATCTATCTATATTCATATCTTTCTATCCATATATCTATCTCTCTATGTATTTTATTTGTCTAGTATTCCCAGTTTGAGAGGCAGTCTAGCTGGACGAGCTACCACACCCACCTTATTGATAAAGACAGGGGCGTTCCCACAACAGTTAGGAAAAAGTAAAATAATCTATTTTCAAAATTTGCTTTTCTCTTTGTAGCCAAGAAACATAAAAACGGCTGAACCAAATCAGGCCCAATTTGTTTCTGGCAATGATGTTTGAAGTGTAAAAATGTTTCTCAGAAATAAATAATAATGTTCATTATTATGAACAAGATTTGTTTTGTCTCTATTTCGTGTATAAAATTATAAAATACCTAAAATTTAAGAGTTTTCACGGAAATGACCAATTACAATAACCAATGACAATTATCCCTCAAAAAAATATGTTTAGCGACCGAGCCAATTATTTGACTTGAATAAGAGGTTTATGGTGAAAACTCAATATTGCTGAACCCCTCCCCCCTAATACCCCACCCTACCACCCCCCATTACCACCTATATTTAATACTGTATATGCCCCTCACCCCTGAACAACCAGAATGAGAAGCATTCGGTTTCTTTTATTTACAATCAAAAGTGTTTTCGTCTAAAATTCAACAATCTTTAAACTTACGGATTTGTTCTTAAAATTCTTTTTTCATTCAAAACGTACAGGGTGTCCCACGAAACACAACAGTTGGTGAAAAGTTTGTTGAGTTGATTGAAACCAAGGATGTAATGCAAGGAAAGTTATTTCAGAAGTGTACACATATTTGTTGTCGCTAAGAAACAAGATTCTGACGATGAACAGCTAGACAAGGTATAACCCACAAATCAAAATCGATAATGCAGAAAACTCTTTATTTATAATGTTAATGGTTGACAATATTTTGTACTGCAGTGTACTGTCTCTGGGCGGTAATGTAAACACAAGACGGATGTTACAGCCTGACATGGGATCCATCTTTCACATAAAAAATCTATGAAATATTCTGGTCATAGGTAAATTTTTTGTGAATTTTCAAAATTAGCAAATTAAATGCTTTTAACCTCCTCGGATACTAAACGAACACTGATGCATCTATTCTTGTTTACAAATTCCGCCCAATGAGAACTGGTTTCAATAAGTACGCAGAGTGTACACGACCGTAATTAACTTTCCTTGCATTACACCCTTGATTGAAACCAAAGATAATCATTATTTGGCAATCGTATTATAGTAAACTTCATTTCAAAATAAAATGTATTTGAGTAAAAGATTTTTAAACCAAAATTAATGGAAAAAATCTTTAATATCTAATACAGTTTATGGAAGAAGACATTCAAAACTATTCATTAACTGTCATGTTTCGTGGGACACCCTGTATATGCCGACAACAAAAGTATTTCAGAAAAAAACTATTTTAGAAAAAAAGTATTTCAGAAAAAGTATTTAAAAAAAAAAGTATTTGAGAAAAAAAGTATTTCAGAAAAAAGTATTACAGAAAAAAATATTTCAGAAAAAAGGCTAAAATATCTTGTTCAAGGGGTCAAAATGTGATCAAAGTCATATTTTTCGCAAATATTCACAGAACATTTAAATCCACGTGCCCCAGCTGAGTCTGCTATAGCTTTAGTACTTCCTCGACAAGGGTTGCTTTGTCAATTTTATTTTTGTGTATTTAAGTTTTAAAGTTTGAAAAATCAGTTTTACCAAACTGCAAATAATAGCAATTTAAAATGTTACAAATTTACAAAATTTGAAAACGTTTAGTTTACATAACAAGGTTTGCTTTCAATCTAAAACTTCAATAAAGATGGAAAATAAGTTTTTTTATGGAAAAAGGGATTTTTTCAATAATCAATAATAAGTGACTAAAATTTCAAGTGAACGTCGATTTATAGTGGCATACTCACAACCATAGATTAATTAACAATAACAGAAAGAACACTTGATGTCATCTTTTCAAGATTTAGGGGTTCTTCGTTCACAATAAACCTGAGGAGGAGTTACGCGCATGCTGCGTAGAAATACAAGACATAGAGAGAGCCGGTTCTACGCCACATACGCGTAGCTCCTTTGGGCTTCTGCCTCAGGTTTATTGTGAACGAAAACCCCCTAAATATTGAAAAGAAGACAGCTAGTGTCCTCTCTGTTATTAATCTATGCTCACAACGGTGTCCTAAAAGTTTCTGATGAAGAATGAATGAATACAACCCAATATTCTAATTTTTTTATCGTTTTCCTAGATGGCTTGAGAAGTTGATCACAGGAGGTCTATTATTCATATCTACAGCTGTACTAGGCATGTATTCACATTAAACAAAAGACATACAGTAATAGAGAGAAAAATGGGATAGAAAGACGACATATAAGTTAGTTTACACGTCTCATGTGCATTGGACTTTTTAAATTGCTTCCATTTGCAGAGTTTTCTGGGCATCACTGTAAATGAAATGTAATTTCTCCTACTCCACTTAATAAAACATTAAGCGTCGAGCAAATGATTACGAAACCTTTTGGATAAATTGCATAGTTTTTCCTCAAAATAAGCATGCACTCAATTTTCTTCTTTTTCGATGAAATTAACAATTTAAAATCTTTGCCACAAAGTCAATTTTCAAATTTCTATATCTTTGGAATTTGGTTATGTCAACTTTTGATATTTCAAACTTAAATGATTTGATCTTACAGAATTCTAAGTTTGAAATTGGATCATAAAGAGGTAGGGATTAAATATTTGAGCTTGTGACAAAGACTCAATTTCTTTGTCTAAATTAAACCTTGATGTGTGATAAGAAATTTTTTTCCCCGGTAAATAATACGATTTCAAACCTATATTAAACATGCCCTAATAATATATTTATACAATGCAGAACATAAAATTCTGAAATAGAAAGACGACATTTAAACTCGAAGTATGACTTTAAATAATCCCATTTACATGAGACACAGATTGTGCAGTGTAAACAGATCCAGTCAACTTAATAAGTGATTTATAATGTTACTACAGTGGTAAACGATTATATCAATACAATGAAGACGACTTTTTTATTAAGTATTGATTGTCAACAAGTTTTTTTTTAATTACACGTTTACAAGTGATGAGAGAGAAGCATTTTTAATAGATAGCTCCTCTTGAGTCTTGACTCCTATGTTTAATTATTAATTCTCATTGTATTGATATACTCGCCTACCACTGCAGTTTAACTTTTTGCGTTGTAACATCATCAAATAAGACTAATAATTGTCGTCTTCCTAATTCAGAGTTTTCTGGTTCTTACTGTATCTTTATAAATATATTATAGAAATACTTCATTTATTGTAAATTTAATAATAATGTGAATAATCTGATTTAAGTGCTGCTCTTCTACGTTCAGAATTCTAAATATCAACTAAATTTTGGAGACCACAGCTAGACTATAATACACTGAATAGAAACATTTAATATTTTGGAAAAATACAATTGTATAACAAGGAAAAAGTGAAAGTACTGTATTCTTTAAATAAAGAAATATAAAGAGGATTTTTTAATTTGTACCTGTTATTACACAAAATCTTAAAATTACAAATTCTTGATCTCATTTAGAATATAAAACAACGCCAATAATTCCAACAGTTATGTTCAGCAAAAGTATAACCAGTCACTAAACTTTTTGAACTTAATTTTCAACAGTAAACTTTTATCAAAATAATGTTTTTTACTTGAATTTAAAAAAATTAACAAAATTTAGAGTTGTCTTCTAAAGATATTAATTGATTAGAAAATATTTGCGTTTTTCTGTTAAATAATATGGATTTTTATCTTTAATTTTTTTAAGCAGTATTTTCATTTCTATTATGTGGGCACCTGACAAAAAACTTACATATTCATTACTTTAATGTTGTTTTGTTTTACTTTCTGTCTTAAAACTTTTAACTTTTTATAAAGTTTTTTGTAATGTTAGCTCATGAATTCATGTAATGTTTTTGTAATGTTAGCTCATGAATTCATGTAATGTTTTTGTAATGTTAGCTCATGAAAACATGTAATGTTTTTGTAATGTTAGCTCATGAAAACATGTAATGTTTTTGTAATGTTAGCTCATGAATTCATGTAATGTTTTTGTAATGTTAGCTCATGAAAAAAACTTTCGTTTTATGAAAAATTAAATATTTTCAGAAAAAAATGATTTATAAATTCAAAATTTGTTATTGCTGAAATACAATTATTTTTTATTTTGTCGATCAATTTATTTGAACAAATATAAAACTTCCTAAAGAGAGAAAAATACAACATATTTAGCTGAAACACAGTGCCCTTTTTTTGTTCTTCAGATATAATATTAAAAAAAACACCATTGTTAAAACAAATTCGAAATATAAGGAAGACGATTGTTCCGACTCAAATGCCGATGTTAATTCCCTGGATGTGTGTGTACACTGAATACACAGAATCCTTTTCCGCCATACAACACACCCCACATGTCAAATCTCCGCTCAACCTAGCTCCCGCTTCACCAGTCAGTCAGCGGAAAACACTCACGAGATTCACAACTCCGTCTCAACCCTGGCTCCTTTGTGATGATGATTCAGATACGGAACCAACAACAGAAGACACTGCTTACACCTAGCTCCGCGCTCCACAAAGTTCCAGAGATCCGGGCGGAACCAGACTTCCTTCCATTATCCTGTATACAGGATAAGTCCGCAATCTCTCCCTCCCACAGGAGAAGGTAACAATAGTTCGCTCCGCAGGAGAAGGTAACAATAGTTCGCTCCGCAGGAGAAGGTAACAATAGTTCGCTCCGCAATGTTCCAGAGATCCGGGCGGAACCAGACTTCCTTCCATTATCCTGTATACAGGATAAGTCCGCAATCTCTCTCCCTTAGACTAAGCCTAGTTGTGAGAAAGCCTGCCGTCAAGATTGATGATCTGCATCACCATCATGAAGTTCTACAAACACCTTCTAACTGATATTCGTCTATAGTTTCTTTATTAATTTCTAAACCAATCAATTTAAGCCCCACTTGGGAAAATATTTCATAACCCTTTTGTTTTTATAAATAAAGATTAGAAATACCGTTAGATCTCTTTTATTTTATCATATTGACTTTTAAAGTCAACAACCATAGTTTTATAATAACTACATGATAACACTTGATATTATAATTAAGTAAGAGCAAGTAAGTAAAAGTTTGTGATGATTTTGTGAAACGCTCTTCTTGATAAAGTATCAGGAAATTCTTTTATCGGATTTTCAGATCGGTTTTACTGAGAAACATTCTGTCCTTGGAAAGGATCCTTTTCAAGAAAAAAATGAATGGAATTACTTTAAGTGACGTCCATCTTGTTTTCACAATTTCTCTTTATTCACATTTGCAAGATTGATGAAACCATGCTTCTCTCAATCTTTTTATTCTTGTCATCCCTCCAGTCTTGAGAAAAAAACTGTCACCTTTTAAATTAAAGCAATAAATTTTGCGAAACCTGTGTTCATCTCTCATACAATTTACTTTTATTGCTTGCCAAACCATTCAGTAAAAATGTTCACCAAATTGAAACACTCTGAGCGACTTTGTAAAAATAAGAAAATTAAAATAAAAAACAAAATCCTACCTCTAAAATCATACATTTCTGCAAGATAAAACGTGAAGAGAATAACTGTGCTCTGGGACGTCTGATTACTGTGATTTTTTTTATAAAGACGACATTTTTTCCGATTTTATTTTTTGCCGATTTAACATTTTCTTTAAGGTCTCTAAATTATACTCACAGCTAACATTAGCATCACTTTTAAGTTTAGAAAATATTGTTGGTTGGAATCAAAATATTCTCCGCATGACGATTGTATTTTTGACAAAGATGGAAAAAGTGCCTTAATTCTTGAAACCAAACTAAATGAATGTGTATTCTGCAGTCTTACACATTGCATTTTTAAATGCGTTAGTTTTACGTCACTTTTACGACAGTTTTATTTACAGAAACTTAAGGTAACATTAATTTTGGTACCAATCTACATATATTTATAGAGAAGAAGTATCAAACTAACCCTCTTTTCAATTTTCAAGAACTCGCCCTTTCAAAAATGAATACATCTTTAACATCATACCGCGATCCTTTAAGTTAAAAAAACCTAGTTTTTACATCTTAATTAGATATTCATTAAATCTCTTCATCCAATTATCCTTTCAAGTTTGACTAAGGTCGAGGGAACAAAATTAATTGGAATTCTAAAAAGGAAAAAAATTTCTCATCAGAATATAAAGTAATTATGCAAATTTATCAACCGTAAACTTTGCAAAAAAATTATAAGCCTCTTTGATTAAGTGCATAAAGAAAAAAAATCAAAGCTTTTAACATGAAGTACAACTTAAACCAAAAACTAAATTTTTGTAAAAATCAATAAATGTTTTTTTTTTAATTGTAAACGTTTCTATTTAATTAATTTCGGAGATTAACACAAAAAAATCCAAAATAAAAACACAGTTTATCTGCGGTAAACCTTGCTAGCAAATAATACGCTTCGTTAATTAATTGAATATCGCTTGATAAAAGGCTAGAATTTACATAAAAATGAAAAAGAATATTTTTGATTTGTGTCAACTGTTAACTTTGTAAGAAAATACTAAGCCTCCTTGATTAAGTGCATTTTGATCAAGCAAAGTTTCTTCATAAGACTTAACCACTCTCTGAAAGTGTTAAAACTTTATAGTTTTCATTCATTATTTTATCTATATAAAAATTTGGCTTGTCTGTCTGTTTTGCTGTTTGGGTGTCTGTTTGTTTGTTTGTATCCAATAAACGTCAAAACGGCTGAACCGATCAGGCCCAAATTTTTTGTGGGACATCACGTGACCACAGGGAAGGTTTATGAATAATTAAAATTAAAACAAAATGTGTTTTAAAGGTTTTTAATTTTGTTACAAAATTTAAATTCTTGAAAATCCGCGAATTTTTTTCTTCTTTGTTTTAAAATGGAAAATATGGGCGCAAAGCGCCCTAAAAGCCTAGTTATTATATAATTGCTTGCTGTCGGTGTAATTTCAAGTGAGTCTCTATTTGTCTGAAAAAGTTTTTAATTCAGACAATCCTGTTCTTTTTTTGCTACACAATTCCTTAATTAAAATTGTTTAAGACACCACGATCGAAAATAGTCATTTTTGAAATACAGTCGTATAATTCTAAATGAACAGGAAAAATTTTAATTAATTGAAGATTAAAAGTCATCTTTGACGTTATAAATAGTTTGCGACAATTATTAAAGGCAACCAAATTTAAGCAATATTTTCGTAAAAGCAAAAAAAAGAGACCAGATTTTGGAAATGGCAGGACCTGGACAAGGACTATTTTGTAAATCAATTATTTTCAATTGTGGTTTCCTTACAAAAGTGATTTGCGCATTTATACCGCACTAAAACATACAGGTAATATACAAATTAAACACTTTTAAACCCAGAAAACGAAAATAACTTCCACATTAGTTTTGAAAAAAAAGGTTTCAAGGGTACCGTTGTGAATCCGGAATTGCCATCTTTGCATGAAAGGTCACTTCAAATTACGTTTTTAGTTCCTAAAAAGGTTCAGAACATTTTCGTCCTACGCTTGATCTTAATGTTTAAACATTTCTCTGAAACACTTTGACTCTTTCAACTTAAACTTTTGCTATTTTCCTGTTATCCAGGAAATATTAAAAGCTGACTCCATAGTTCTAAAGAATTGTCTACGCTGGGATAAAAATATATATTCTCTGCTGTTTTGTTCTCAATATTTCTCCATTGTTCATCCTCATGGATATCATATTTTTCATTGAAAATAAGTCAAATTATATGAATTTGTCTTTAGTTTTAAGAAATAATCTTATTCTTAAAATTAGAAAATAACAAAACAAAACTGATAAAAACTACTTTTTCTATTTTAGTCTCAAAAATATCTATCAAATAAGTAGCACATTTCTGTTTTCAAATATATTTTTTAAGATAAACACCCCATATATAAATGGAATGAGAGTATGTTGATTGCAGTAGCCTCTATAGATATGAGTTTATTAGATTAGTGTGTGGAGTGTTGATTGAACAGAAGAAAATCAAATCTTCATCCAAACTATATCATGTTAATATGAACATATAAGAAAACATATTTTATCACATTTGAGGACTTTTGTCATTTTAAACGTGGTCTTAATAGATTAATGGTGTCATATTAATTGAACTAATGATTGATTGAACGAACATGGTTAAATTTATATTTGTTTAAATGCTCTAAAAGCCAGCTTGTGAACAGCTGACTTTAGTTCAATCGGATATTAGTTCAATCGATATAGTATTGTATCTGTAATTGTTATCAAACGTAACTTTCATACAGTAGAGATATCCAAAAAATGGGGTTAAGAATAACATCAAAAGTGTGTACATTGGATACTCAGATTAATCATTCGTTTAATTTAGGATCATTTGAAATTACTCGTACAGTCCCTTTAAAAGAAAAAATTAATAAGTATCTGCAATCTATTTATTTTCAACCTATGGTTAATTTCAAACCTCCATAAATTTTTGGTGAACAGTCTCTTTATGTAGATATTTATAATTTGACAACGTTTTATCCTTCTTTAATAAAAGTTCGAAGGGATTTAACTTAGTTGTACATTTTACGGAACTGTCAGCTTTTAAAGATTAGTCTCAAAGT